GTGTGGGGTTGCTTTTCAATCTAGGGAGAGGTGTTTCTCATAATTCTGCCCAAAAACACTTCCATGAATAAAGAATGGTATCAAAACGTCCTGCAAGAGCGACTTCTTCCAACGAGCCATGAGCAATTTGGGGATGATCCGTGCATTTTCCAGCATGATGGAGCACCATGTCACAAAGCAAGAGTGATAAAGAAGTGGCTCGAAGATCATTACATTGAAATTTTGGATCCGTGGCCAGGCAACTCCCCGAATCTCAATTCCATAGAGAACTGAGAGAATACTGAAGCAGCAAACTTTGCAAAACACAAAATTTATGTCACTGCCAAAACTTTTGGCCATGACTGTACTGTCACACTCTATACATCTCAGGAGAATTATATACACCAGCAGCCACATGCACATCACTCAGACTGCTGTGAGAGTTGAGAGCCTACCATCTCTTGACATGCCCACTGCTAAGCATTTCTGCAGGCGACAGTGCTGGCAGCGGTTTCTGCTGGTACGGTCGATCAGACAGCTCTTCTGCCGAGGACATGAATATGACACAGTGCCCTGCTGACTCCTCCTGAAGAAACCCTGAAAGAGAGAGCGAGAACACAACAATAGGTCACCTCTAGCTTGCATCTTTGAAGTTCGCATTGCAGCACATCAGAATGATTTATTAACTCTTTAATTAGTACAGTAACTAAATAGGGTTTACACTGCATATTTCCATGCAAATAACTGACTTTTAAAGGAATGTCACAAAATGCGCATTTTTATGCCTCTTTCCAGTGCAGCGGTGCATTATGGGAGCTCCAAATGAACTCATATGAATGAAGAATGCATGAAGTGTAAATGCCTCTAGAGCACTCTAGTGAGCACAAGCACCTTCTGTGGTGGTTTGTGCCACTCTCAGACAAGTATAAATAAGGCTTTTGATGTGCATTGTGAACGCAAAGCAGTGTGATTTTACTTTATTCTTAATTTTTTTGAAAACATTTTGGCCATTACAACATGACTGAAAGTGAAAAATTTGTGACAGAAAAATATTATACTATTTGTAACTGAAAAAAAAAAAAATCTACACCACCATTCAAAAGTTTAGGGTCGGAGGTTTCAGCATCATTACTTCAGTCGTCAGTGTCGCATGATCCTTCAGAAATCATTTTAATATGCTGATTTGATGTTTAAGAAATATTCCAAGAAATATTATTATCAATGTTTAAAACATTTGTGCAGCTTAATATTTTTGTGGAAACCATGAATTTTTTTTAGGATTTTTTGCTGAACTGAAATTTTAATTTTTTCTGTAATATTATAAATGTCTTTAATGCAACTTTTGATTAATTGAATGGATCCTTGCTAAGTAAATCTATTTAAAAAACACTTAATGACCCCAAACTTTTGAATGGTAGTGTATAGTCTAAAAATTATGATCATGATTATAACAGCCTTAATTATACATTAAAAAAAACTGATAGATGCATTGGCATCTTGCTGAAAAGACATAACAATGAGATGTGTGTGTGTGTGTGTGTTTTTTGCTTTGTTTTTTGGTTGCCTTACCTTGCATCCCTCACATGTGATGACACCATAATGTATCCCTGATGATTTATCTCCACAGATTTTACAGGGAATACTCTCAATCTGAGCTACAAAGAGACAGAAACACACTTTCAGCAAAAAAACAAATAAATCACATTTGTCTTTGCTACAATATTTTCTCCTGTGTCAGCTTAACATGCAAAGACAGCTTTAATTAAGACATTTGTTAGTAATTTTCCTCAGGAACACTGAAGCTTTTAACATTTCTCTGTTTGTTTGAACGGTCTAACCAGCCCAACATAGCAACACTGGCTCAACCGGTGGCATGAGTTTGCGCCAAACAACCAAAATCAGGCAGTGTGCTTTGGAAACTTGTTTGGAAAAAATTGCAATTCTATTTAGTGCTGCAGAAAAGACTAAATGCAGGTCTTTGAGTACAGGAGAACCATTATCAATCTCAAATCAAAAGGACACTGATAAAACACTGTTTGACAAAGCACATCTGTTTTTGTCCTTTGAAAACACTCTTTTCTTCCTTTAAACTGATCAGCGGAGACCATAATCACATCAAGACTAATTCCACAGCTCCTGACCTTTGAGTTTGCTAATGCAGAGAGAACAAGGCCTGAGGTTTGTTGTGCAGAGTGTAACCTCAGGCTTTAGCTAGCAGAACAACGGTGAAAACATTTAAAAAGAATGAATCGAGAGGCAGCACCACATAAAACACTCCATTTATTCAAGCAGAAAAAATGGCCATGACTGTTGAAATCACCCACGGGACTGACATCATCTGTAAGTACAATCTGCTCTTCTAACATCCAACATTCATTTGGGTAACTACAGCATGACAATGCCATCCTCCCTCAAGCCACGAGCTCGCTTTACGACAGTGCCGTGGTGCATTTCGGTAAATATCAAAGTCAAGATGCACTCCTAGTTGGAGATGGCGTCTGCATGCGCTGGATTGTGTGCCGTAGTCGTGCGCGAGCCCCTCAGCGGCTCAGCTGCGGTTGGTTGTGGAAAAGCACGCAGAGATTGTGTGCGAGGCTGTTGAGAGGGGAGCTGGGGGAATAGAGCAAGAGGAGAAATCCATTTAGAGAAGAGCGATGCAGTCGTTCCGGCAGCCCTGAGGCACATACAATACAGGATGAAAAAGTAAAACGCAGCTCATCACCATCAGAGCGTTCTCTTTTCTCTCTTTCTCTCGGTCACATACGCTCAGACTCGTATGTTTTTTTCAGCTGCGGACTCTATTTGCAAAGGACCAGAGCAGTTTGAGAATGACTATTTTCTCATGATTACAGAAAGGGCTAATCCCCTTTGGTTCTGCATGCCGTATTCATTAAGGGCATCCTCACTCTCTCTCATTAGATATGTAAAACCAATCGGCAGTAATTAGCTACTCTGAAGCACAAAACGCTAATCTGGTCTGAATTATGGATTAATACATCAAAGGCACATTCTCCCAGAGCTGCCGCTGAAGTCTTGCAGCAGTAGGTACCGCTGTTCGGCTCTGATGCAAGAGCACGGCTTACAGAGCTGCTATTTCAGACTACAGAATAGGAGCGTTCACGAGGGCCATATACAGATGAGGATTGTGAATGCATGAATTCTGGGTTTGTGTAAAGAGATTCGATTGTGGTGGATATTAAAGACTGATTAATCTGTAGACCATTTTTGAGATCACTTCAACCATGAACAGTAGGATAAAATGCCCTTGTACATCTTCCAAAAGTCAAAAATCTAAAAATGCACACGCACATAAAAAAAACTGTATTTTATCAAATATTATACTATTAATATTGCATTGCATAATGCGACTGCATATAAAGAATATTTTATTCATAATTTGTCCAAATATGTTTTTAAAAATACATATATTCTAATATTATATAATTTGATTTAATATAATAATTTACTATACTACATATACACGCTATATAAATACACACACACATGTAATATCTTCTTAATATTTTGTAAAATACAATTTTTGTAGTGTGTTTATATATTATATATTATAATAAAATATACACACATATTACCTCATTTTGTGAAATATAGTGTATATATATTTTTTACTATTATATATTATAATAAAATATACACACATATTACCTCATTTTGTGAAATATAGTGTATATATATTTTTTACTATTATATATTATAATAAAATATACACACATATTACCTCATTTTGTGAAATATAGTGTGTGCATATAGTATAGGATAGAATGTAGTATAATATCATACTATACTGAATAGTTCAGTCTGTCAACAGCTGCATCTTCAGATTTTCAGTCAATATAGGAGACTGAAAAACCCCTGTCCACCACTAGATTTTTATCAATTCATCACTTTTACAGACAAGCACCTACAAGCCAACCAATATTTTACAGGTGTGTATCATAATCCGCAAACACAGACTTTCACACACACAGAAGACTTCTGTTTGCAAGTGTCGCTTCCTCCTCATGAGATGTTGTGGTTTAACATGCTTGGTTTCTCTCCCGGTGTGAAAGTGCTGATGTGCTGCCTAAGTAGGAAACATAAAACACAGCACCCAACCAAAGTCAAAGCCTGCAGATACACACGCGCACACACACACACACACACACGTTCCCTCCCCCTTCACTCCCACCCTTTGGGGTTTTTGTAATCTGTTGACAACACTGACTCACATCGGGTTGAGATAAACACTCCATCATAACAAAGGAGAAAAGAACATTCTGGCACATATTAGACTTAAACTGAGCTTCAATAATAAAAGGTTTTTGCAAACACCTAGACATTATATCATTATTTTCTTATTAACTAATACTCATTCATTATCTGTAATTAGGGTGAAACGAAACATAAAAATAAACCTATTATCTGCTCCAAGAACAAACTAAATGGTGACCAAGCCCTTTAAATTCTACATAATTAACTTTCACGCTTAACCCTAACAAGACTCTAAATTAACCTATGTGTACGTGAGCTTCAGTTCACAATCCCGCTAAGTCAACTCAGGGTGAAATCTTATTAACCTTTAGTCATGATGTCAGTAGGTCAGCCAAGGAAAAGCAGTACTTTCACAACAATCTCTAGCTTTGTTCTTAGACAAAAAGATGGTTGATAACATAACACTTTCAGTTGATCTGAAAACAGTGTAGGACGACACGTCTGAAGTGCCAAAATAATCTCTAATCTCTTTGAAAGAAGCAGCGGAGGCTCGCACAGATGTTCCACTGCCCTATACCTTATCACTAATAGATAATGACAGCTGCCAGCAAGACTTTGCATTGCCTGTGTGTGTGTGTGTGTGTGTGCGCATGGCGATTCAGAGTTGGGGGTGGGGGGATTAAGTAAAACACAGCCGTTGGTGGAATAAACAGCCAGGCGCTCCTATGGCAGTCCACCCCTACCTTCCATAAATAGGTCAGTGGAACAACATTCCCCAATCATCCAGCATGGCAACATTCCCATGCCGTGCCAAACATCCAACATGGCCGCCCATGTATGAGCTGTCAGAAAGACGCCATCGCATTGCATCACATCACATCACACACTTACTGACTTAACTTATGCTCACGGCAGTTTCAGACTGACTGAGATGTTCCCTCAAACACACACATGCTATAATGCGTATTACTACAGATCATAAAAGATCTAATATTCACTTTGCAATTCAAAATCATAAAAAAAACATGTAAATGAACATGCAAAACAGTGCACTGAACAGTCCATGCAATGTTTTGAAAACAAAACTGCCACATTATACATGCAAGAAGAGACATTAAGGGCTGGAAACATTAAAGAAACATTAACACAAGCTTATGCACTCATTCTCTCATGTGCACACACACACATTTCCACAGCTGTCCCGACTTGGAAATCCCTGTCCTACCTTTCATGGCTGTGATCATTAAGTACATCCTGAGGCTCTGTGGCCACGCTGAAGACCGTCAACAGCCTCGTCTCAAGAGCATGTGCAGGCTCGGACGCAAGCGTTGTGCTGCTGACTGACGGGAGCGCTGCTGTGCCTCTCGCCTCTACCGCATGAGAATCCATGTGACTGTGACATAAGGACTAAAACCCTTTCTTCCCGCCCCTTCAACCCTTGAGTGACAGCTTTGTCATCCAATGGCTGAATGGTTCGTTGAGTTTTAGTTGACTGTGTGGTTTAAAGGGTTAGTGTTGACTCTCACTTTGCACTGCTGTGCAATGTGTTTTCATGATACTTTACTGTATGCAGGAAGTTGTCTGCAGGTAAGGCTTCAAAGTGTCAGAGCAAACTGAAACACTTTCTCTTCCTCCATGAGAGTGTTTCACAGTGACACACAGGGCATTGGTTGCCTGTCGCACTTATCACACCATCTGTAATGATTGACTTCTTTGCTGATATGTCTCACTATTATTACTTAGCACATTATATATTACAAACTACAATGCATCTAAATGAACTTAAGACATATACAGTGTGATGGATAAATGTTTTGAGGTACACTCTGGAGGTATTTTGTAGCTCTTCTAAATGCATACACATATACATATATTTATATATAGAGAGATTAAAATATTAATTTTATTTAATGCATTTTTTGTATATTTTTTATTTATTAAAATAATCTTAAATTCATGCAACCAATTTACTCAAATTACTGTAATTTACAAGTGCATGTATATTTAATGCTACAATTATATTGAAAGCATATACATGCCAAATTAAAATGTTAATTTAACTATATGTACATAATTAACAAAATATATTATACAATGTAATGTAAAATAGACTAACAATTATAAATTCTAAATGCATTTTTCATTTTTTAAAATAAATGTATACATTTTATCTGTACATTTTGTATATGTTAACTTAATTTCATGTACATAATTGTTTATATAATATATTTTAGATTTACAAAAATAATATCTTAAATTTAAATTTAAGTTAATTTACTCAGGTTTGTGATTTTACTAATGTACTGTAAGCAATTTACAAGTGTATGTATGTTTAATATATGTGTATGTATGTTTAATACAATATATGTTGAACATACATACAGAATTTTGATAACATTCATTGTGCAAAATTAAATTCTAAATTGTATGTACATAATTTTAATATAACATATTGGGATGCACCGATACCACTTTTTCCAGAACTGGCCGACACAGATACTTTTATTTTTTGTACTTGCCGATACCGAGTACCGATAACTGTATTTTCATTGCATATGGATTTTAAAAAAAATACTGGGTACAGAAACCAAAAGAATATGTATAATATTAATTGGCTTAGTTCATTTAGCAAACATATATTTCCTTCAGTTATTTTCACACATAATTATGCCCATTAAAATGTATTTCAAGCTGTATTTCAAGTTCAAGTATTTCAAGTTGTTTACAAGCTTTTGTAAATATTTTTTTCCTCTATGGCATTTCATTTTTAATTTAATAGCACATTAAAGCTGCTCCATTGCAGCGGCTCAGTACTGTAATCACAAGACGTTTTCCTGTAATAAAGTACGGAACCACTCATTTTCCTATAGCCTACATAAATCTTGTAACAGTGATGAACATATTTATGGACATATGAAACTTAAGTCATGTTTTTTTTACACTGATCTATAATAGAGATATATATAGATCAGTGTTTTTTTATCATCTGAAACGTGCTGCGACTTATATTCCAAAGCGACTCATATAATGCAATTAACATCAACAAGCAAAACATGCAACGCACGTACACATCTGTATTGGTGCAGATGAGAGAGACGCGTAGCCTAGAGCATTTCACAAAGACTGCTAGTTTCACTTTCACTTTAAATAAATTGTGTATGCTTGACGTTTAAAATAAATGTTGTTTAGAGTGAATGCCGTATAGTTTTTGTTTGATATATATTTAAGATTTAGTTGTAATACATATGATTCATGTGCTAAGGCGTTAATATACAATGTTTAACATTGTATTAATTACATACATGTACTTCTTAGACATTCTTAATCTCTAATAACTCCATTCTGCTGTCTCTGGTTCTGTGGTCTGTGTTTCTTTGTCTTAACACAGCACTGTTTACATGCTGTATGGTATCAGCGTTTAGTATGGGGGCATTTTAACGAGTACGAGTAAAAGAGTGCAGTATCGGGCCCGATACCGATACCAGTATCGGTGCATCACTAATAACATAATAATCAAACAGAATATAATGTAACAAATTAAGTTATCATAAATTATTTTTTATAAATGTATTTGTATTTTTCTATATTTCATAGGCTATCAATAGATTCACAATTATCAGCATTATACCAGCCATCTGTCATTAGACATAATTATCTGCATCAGCTAATTAAAAAATCCCATGTTGACCGACCACTAGTTAAAATCATTATTGCTTTTTTATCCCCCACATAATACAGTCATATATAGTAAAGTCATCAGCAGCACAGCAGTGATTTGAAATTGCATGTCTTTGCCTACAGGATAACTGGCATATTTGAAATTCTACCCATATGTGTGTGTGGGGTACAAGCACACGCGCATGTAGCCTTATACAGGTCTGGCTGAATCTGAGGGGAACGGGCCATCTGAATGCTAATGATCTGGCCAGGGCCCAGCACAACACACAACACCCTCTCCAATTCACCATGGCCAGAAGGTCTGCTCAAAGAAGAAGGCACACATCTAGCTGAACCAAGCATCGTCAAAAACCATCTCTGCGGTTGTGAAAGTCACTATTACGCAACACAGAAGCTGTAGGTAAGAACCTGCTGGCTAACCTCATTAGGCAACAAGTTTCAAAGATGTGACCTTAAACGACAGTTCATTTACTCAAACTCCAAACCTGTATGCATTTCTTCTGCCGACAAGACAAAACATTACAGATTTTTTGTTTATTCATCTTAGTTTAATAATGTCCCCACCCCCCAACCAACCAACCAATCACCTCACAGACCATAGTTTCAGAACCGCTTTTCTAAACACAAGCCTCTCAATCCAGTTTCTTCTAGAAACGTCTCCCACATGCTGTCCAACTGAGGACTGAATAGCTGAAATAGAGATGCTGGAGCTGCTTGTGCAGGTCTCATGTTTCACGGGCATGACAGCAGTGTGAGGATGGGGTTCTGTTGTGCGAGCCACTCTCTCAGAGAAATTCATCCCTCTGCAATCCTGAACACATCTCTCACTGGGCTGGGTTTAACTTCAGCAGGACAGACATGCTAATGCATGCTCCCAGCTGCTGCTTGTTTGCTTGGTGTCTCCAACACAAACATCAAGACTCGCATACAAACACACATGTGCAAACACCCACAGTGAATCTCACACTGAATTCTCTTATTTAAGAATGACTAAATAAAATTTGAAATTTTGAATGCAATATGAAACTACACGCTGGAATAATACAGCGAATATACTCTTTCTAGTTTATATACACTGTCCTTCCAGTACATTCAAGTACACAAGGGACATCTCATCCAGTAAAGGAGATTTCACATCATTCAATGCACAAACAGGAAGTCTCTGTTGGTAAACCATGGAAACATCCCGCTAGTGTGCAGTTATTTTCTTGAGCAGCTCCTCTCACCTTGACCAACATTTTTCTGTCATGTTGGCAAAACCTTTTAGCATGAAACCAGTATATAAGAAATGGCTCTCTTCTGTTTCCATAAACACCTACATTTATGAAGGGCATATAGGGCACATCAATTAACAAACAAAAAATTACATTTAGTGGTAAATACGGATTCAACCATGTAAATCAAAATTGTTCAGTGTATTTTCTATTGACTATAAGATACATTTATTACAACAGCAATAATAAATAAATTACAAAAAAATGACAAATTGCATTTTATACACACACTTACATATACATACATACAAGTAATTTGTAATTTTTCATAATTTCTCATTTATTATTGCCATTTATAGTATGTGTGTGTGTGCATGTGTGCGTACAACTTGTGTGAGAGAGTGTGTGTACATGGCAAACATGGTGTGAGAGGAGGTGAGAAATATCAGTTACACCACTGGTACACTTACAGTAGGTACTACAACTACAATTATCCTTTTACTTATCAGGAAATAAAACCTTATTGAAAACTGATAGATGTTGGTAGGAGAGCACTTTTAAACCCCTTTAAACCAGCATTTATTATCACAGCCATCTCATCCTAGCATGCATTGTCACCTTCTCACATTAACCCAAAGAATCTGATTAAAGCAAAAAAAAAAAAAAAAAAAGTGGATGTCAATGTGGGTGTTAACATTCTCAGTTTCAATTTTCCAGAAGTTTGGTGTCTCCTCCTCTCTTTAATTACTTTTGTAACTAACAGCCTCCATGATCGTTTGGTCTTAGGTGTACAAATGGAGTATGTTACATAAAGATCTGTGGCCACAGGAGTGTACTCTTACATGAAGACTGTACTTACATGTGTGTGTTTTCTTTGCTGAGGACACATCTGAAAAAGAAAAGCAATAAAATAAATATTAAACAGGGCTTGCGATAGTTCATACTAGACTCTTAAAAAACATTTAGCTTTAAAACATATGGAAAGAAGTCCATGCTTAAAAAGATTAGGATATTAAATTTGGATATAATACAAATGATATTTTCAAAATTCTGTGTTCTGATAAAGTATATAATATATTTATATTACATACACAGAATTTTGAAAGTATAATTTCTTGCAATTAATTGCGCCTAGGATTCTTTTTGTATTTTCTGTTTAAATTTTATTTAGCGTTGGATAAATGGTTTCTGTTGTAGCTTTCCCCCCCTTTTTACACTGTAAAATCCAAACTTGTCTGACTTTTCATGTCTATGCATCATGGGAAAAAAAATAATTCAAATACAAAAAATAATTTAGCCTTAGAAAGCAAAATAATAATGAAAAAAGTATACTAAAAAAATTATAAAATTATACTATATAATTATATGCGTTTGTTATATGCCAACATATTGCTTGTCATGAAAATAATAAAGAAATACTATGTATATAGTGAATAATGTACACATTCATGTTTTTTTAATCGCACAGAAGTGAACTGAAGGCACTCTGTAATCCCAAGCCATCACAGGCCCTGGCTTATGCTTTTACATTCAGGGCAACTCAGGCCAGTGCAGTCAATCACCATTAATC